CACTGCCTCAGGGGGGTGGTGGCGCCTCCGCTGCTTGGGGGAGTTATTTTTTCTATAACACACATTTGTAGCATCTTCCATCCATAACTCTTTGTCTAACTGGATGGGCTCTGTATCTACCAAAGTGACACAGTCCCTGAGCCATTTTTGATTAATCTACAGATAGATTGTTGATGTGAGTGCCCACATCATATTGACTGACCAAATCAAGTAACTTCTTCATTTATTTTAATGAAAATGTACTGGGCCAATGAATTCTTTGGGAGGTTGGGATACAAAATTGGGAAGGTAGGAGATCAAAGTAGTGACAACAATGCTTGAAATAAAAAGTAATGTAGAGCCAGGTGTAGAGTGACCATTCCAGAACATATGCATAATGAACAAGCAGAAGTAGCCAGTCATTGAAAGAGAAGAAAGGATATGCACAGAGCTGAAAAGGAACTGAAAGACACAGAGACACAGATATACCTGCATGAAGGACATACTGTAGTTCAAAAGACAGATGACGAGAGACAGACAAAAGAGATCCTTGTGAGATGTCTTGGGATATTGTATGGTAGATTCCTTATAGCTTTTCAGTATTTGGGTCTCATTTCTGTAAGAAATCCTGTTCTTGCAAATAGTGGTACATGCCCATAGTCTCTCACTCAGAAGGCTGAGGCAGGAAAATTACTTGAGTCCAGAAGTTCAAGGCCAGCCTGGTCAGCATAACAAGACTCTATCTCTAAAAAGAGAAAAGAAGAAAGTAAAGAAAAGAAATACTCCTTAGATTTCTACAATGTTCCCATTTGCAGCCTAAAAACTGTTTTTTGTGGAGCCAGCTTAAAAGGGTCTCTGTTTACTATAATGAAAATGTACCTAAAAATAAATAAATATTATTATATTTGAAAAGTGTAATTAAATAAAATAACATAGCATGGCAACTGAGGCAGAATCCAGGCAAAACTGAATGCCCATTTAATCTTTTGATTCTAATCCAGTTTAACAAAGCTGATATGACTGACTACAAATTAATCTAGACTTTTGAAGGGTAAGAATATCTAATCACTGAATTTGCTCCATGATTCCATGGCCTGAAGAAAAATCTCAATTAAAACATTTCTTAATGCAGCATTAACCTTGCTGATCTCAAGTGTTTGTTTTTCCCGGTTGCATAGTGTATGTTATTCTTTCATCAGTGTGACCCTAATCATCCACGATTTGTCAGGTATTCTTGAATACATCATTCTACATAACCTAGGACCCAAGAACTCCAAGCTACATGCTTGCCTGATTAGGCAAATAGTACGATATTGAAATTCTTTTTCTCATTTGTTAGCTTAATTTAAAGAAGAAGCAATTGGTTTTTTTAAAGTTAATTCAAGTCCGAATATCTTAATTTTCACAGTGAATAGTAATTCTTAACTTTTCATCATCTAGAAGATGTGTACTCTTCAATTTATAATGTTAAGAAGTATATTTTATGACTTGTCTATTATGAATGAAGAAAGACTTGTGAACATTGTGGCTTTTCATTAGCATTCTTGCTTAGACTTTTTTTTTTTTTGCTTTTCAAGAAAAATCTCATTAAAGGTAATATACACAAACACACACACATGCACATAAACCAACAATTATACACACATATAAACACACAGCGGTATCATATATATACATATATGTATGTCTTTTTAAATATAGATTTGTAGATTTATACACTCATTCCACCACAGATGAAATAATGCTGCAGATGAAGCAGTGTATGTATGCTACTGGTTTCTTGTCACATCCCTCTATCAATCCCTTGAAAATATATAAAATGCAATGAACAGCAGCTCTTTGTAACAAAAGGTTAGGGCTATAGAGTATCATTTTGTCTCAAAGTGTGAGTAAAGGACCACCAACACATGACCTTAAAACACAAGTATTAATAACATATGATTTTGTTTCAGTGTGAATTAATAGTTTTCTTAAGAAATATGAAACAAGCAAGCAAACAAAATATATTGATATCTTATAAAAAGCAAAGCATATTCCCCTTAAATTCTGATGAGGACTTCATGATGCAAGTGGTAAATTATGTAATAAATTTTTCCCAGAACCTTTGGCATTGTGATTCTGACAAAGACAAAGAATCAGTGAACTCTATACTTCTGATGTACACTGCTTAGAACTACTAATTTGCTCATAAAAGAGTCAAAAGTAAGGAATAAGAGTGAGAAGTTTACATTATGAAAGATAATTTTTAAAATTTAACCATGAAAAGCTTCCATGTGATATGATATTGACATTAAAATGTAGGACTGTATCCATAAGCTAACCATGTTAGGCTTTTATTCTTTATGTTATTGAACATGATTGTTTTATATATTGCTGTATTATGAGATGATATTAAACCTGTTATAAGTATGTATCCATGTGTTAATCTATATTAATAATAAATATCCATACTATCAATTGCTAGTCTCTGTATATTCTTTTACTTTTCCTGCTTATAAGAGGTATTCAATAGATATTTGTCAAATGAATTCTTTTTAATAGCCAAATTCTCTAGTAGCTTGAGGGAATTTAGTGAAAACCATCTGGATAGTTATTCTCCTTCATCTAAATGAAGTAGTATTTATGCTGTGTAAAACAGAGTGTCTGAATTGATATCTAAATTGGTTAGAATTACTGGAACTAGAGTACAGGGATTTTGAATCCTGAGTTTCATTAGGATAAAATGAGTTAATACCTGGAAAGTCCATTAGTACTTAAACCACAAATCAATACTCAGTAAAGGTTTGCTCTTATCATTCTTGAAAGAAAATTTTCTTAAGGTACTTTGCAATTTGGTAATATAAGTTTATTAAGGTATCCCTTTTAATATGAATCACATATGTGGTTATGGAAATACTCTTATGTTCAATTATAAAGTGATTTCCTAACTCTGCTTAGAGTGTTATAAAAGAGAAGGCATTTGCATCGTGTTAACTTTTAAAATTGGAAAAATTCAAATTCCAAAATCTTTGCTGTTCCTAAAAATTGTGGATGAGGAAATGTAGATCTGTGTTTAATTTGATGGTACAGAGAAACAAAATTACTCACACACTCCCAGTAATATTATAAATTTGTACATTTTTGTGAGTGGAAAGGTGACAATCTGGCAACATATATAAAAAACTTAAAAATCCGAAGTTCCACATCTAGAAATTTGTCATTACTAAATTATAAGGACAATTATAAAATATAAGTTTTAGTAGGCCAGTACAGATCATACATGACAGCACAGATCCCAAATGTGCAATAATAGAAGATGAGTAAAATTACACAGCCTGTAGCCATATTGCAAACTATTACTGTGCCACCTTCAAAGTGATATTGTACAGTAATACTCATTCATCTTGAAAGATATCTTGATATTGTGTTAAGTAGAAATGTTAGGTTCTAAAAATAATACACACCATATAATTTTTGAAGTATTTGTATATGTATGCATAGAAAACTATTTGAAGGGTATTCACCAATATGTTAACAGTGGTTATTTCTAGATGACAGGATTGTATGTATTAATGTGATAAAAATAAAACTTATAAATTTCACTTAAATATATTATTTAAGCATGTCAATATATCTTAGGTTTTGAATTGTATATATATAAAATTAATATCAAGAAAAATATAGCATTCCTTACATTTGGTAGGAGTTGATAGCTATAAACAATAATTATTTAGAAAACAATATTATGAAGCAAAGACTAGTCTCCAAAAATAAATAGCATTTATAGTATTATTGATGTTTTAAGTGTGTATGTATGTGTGTGTGTTAAAATTAGCCATGGAGAATTGGAAACATGAATTATATTGTCAAGGAAAATATATCTACAACTTCAGACTTTATTTTTAAAATATGCCCAGAAAGTATATTTTCAGCATTCAAATTCTGACCCATGTGGAGTGAACAGCAAGCTACCCATCTCAAATAGTGAGATGTCAATTGAGAATTTATAACGTTTTTGTTTCAGTCATCAGAAATAATTTGCTATCCTCAGAAATATATTTTGAAAACATGATCTTTATCCTGAAATGCTCCTTTACCAATACAAGTAAATAAGAGAACCATATGCACTTTCAGGAAAATGATTTTCCTTCTGTACTGCGCTGAATGGTGATAACATGATGACGTGCCATCCTACTGCTTAGCATGGGATAAACGACTAGACCCAGCAGTAGATCTGCAGAGAAAAGAGCTCTGTGTTTTAACTGCCAATTTTCAAGTCAATGCTTCTTATAGTTTCTACAATATGTGTCTGAAATTTAGTGCTAAGTCTAAATGCTTTGTTCCACTTTGGTAGACCATTTCTGCAATTCATGAACAATTAAATTATATTTCTTTTTATTAGAAATTGTGATATCTGTTCTTTATTTACTGAAAGAAATAACTCTTTATTTTTCAGAGCTTCCATATGGCTGGGAAAAAATCGATGATCCCATTTATGGCACTTATTATGTTGAGTAAGTCTCTAAGTGTGATATTAACTTGTTATTAATATGTTGTGAAGAAATTGCATTCGTATTTCATTTATTGAGCATGTGTGGCTAACAACCCCTTTAATTCTCTTTCATCTTACTTTGAAGTATCCACAAAAACTAGCAGCACTCTGTTTCTCGCCTCTCCAGCTGGCTAATTTGTCATTCCTTTCCTTTGACTCATGGTTCTAACACACCAATTGAAAAAGTATGTTTCATACTGTCCTCTAAATGAGTGATAATTAAAGATATCGAAGTAAATTTCTTTCATTTTGCAATCAAAATTTTGGGAGCTGATTGGTTGTGCAAAGGAGATGTTCTATTAAACCAGCTTTCTAAGTCAATTGAATAAACCTACCATAGTTTCCAGTTGAAGGATAAAATAAAATTTAGGACTCATTTCAAATCAACAGTATTCTTTCAGTAGATTGAACTTTTATGTTACTGAGTGGAGGTTGTACTGCATTAATATATCTTATCATGGAATGAATTATCCCCTCTACACATCATTTTATTCAGAGTAAAGAACTTATTAGAGGTTAAATTATATCTGCACATTTTTCCTAGGAAAAATCAAGTAATATTTATACTTTTCTTTTTTAGTTTGTTTTATTTTAAAGGTGGGGGCATAATTCAGGATTAGGTATACAAGTGGTCATTGTACAGGTAAAATTTGGGCCTACCTTTGGTTCTCACTTTGCCTGATTTGAAATCAGGTAGCCTTATCAATGTTATGTGCCCCGCCCCTCCCCTGACAGTTTCCAGCTACTGCCAATTCCTTTCTTATAGTATTATGGTAAATGTTCAGGGTCCACTTATGAGTGAGAATATATGGTACTCAGTTCTTTGTTTCTGTGATGCATCACTGAGTATTATAGATTCTAAATCCATCCAAGTTGCTGCAACATCCATAATTTTGTTCTTCTTTGTGGCCACATAGTTTACACAATAGGTAAGGATTTAAAAAATTTTATCAGGAGAGAAGTTTCTGGAAAAATAAATCACATCTTTAACTTTTGAAAATTATAAATAGAAGAATATTTGCAAGAATATTTACAATTTTCAAAAGTTAAAGATGTGATTCATTTTTCCAGAACCCTCTCTTCTGATAAAACTTTTTTTATTGTTACCTATTATATAACATTGCTAAAGTTATCTGGGTGAATAACAATGCCTATATATTCCATATGGGATGTATACTAGCCAAGAAATGCAGAAGACAAAAGACATTTCTATCAAGATCTTACTGTGTTTTCTCAAACTATATTCTGTTTAACAATAATTAGCTACGTGGCCAAAGATTACAGATTGATGGCTTGAGTGTTAAACTGTTTTCATAACAATATTCAAACTGTTACTGAGCTATTAATTAGGTGTCAAACCCTTCTTGGTGCTGGAGATGGGCAGATAAGTAAGACCTGTGTGTACGCCTTGCCCTTGAACATCTCTCTCATTAGTACTTGTCTTGAATACTTTGACCCACCATTTTCATTTGGAAAAGTCCCAATTTTGGCCTCATGATCAGTCATTTCCAGATTCAGGGTCAAGGCGAAATCAGTTCATTTGCCGTATGCAATTTTCTAACATAATACTAATGTCTAGTGTCATGTGGACATTTAACAAAAAGTAAGATAAATATATAGAGGTATTTCTAATTGCAAAAATAAAGGGAAATCATTTGTAAATAGTTATAAGGCCTCTGAATCCCACAAAATTGCCAATCAATTAAAATACCCATACTTAATAATAATAAAGCTTTTCAGTTCCTGAATAAATAAAACATTAAATGTTTCCAATAAGTTCAAGATTGTCTTAAGTCACTGAATCAAACTGTACTGTGACTAAGTCTGTAACATCTGAATTTCAAGGCAATTCTATGTGAGGAAAGAGAACTGAGTGTAAGATATACCAGATCTTATCTTTAATACATTTCCTTGAAGAATCATTGAATAAGAACCCTTTCTTAGTCCAAATAATGGCCAACTATATAAATAACCAGATCACAAATATTTGGGGGGACCATATGGTCTCTGTCACAACTACTCAGCTCTGCTGTTGTAGCTTGAAAGCAACCACAAGCAACACAAATGAATGCATGGAGCTATGTTCCAATAAACATTTATTTACAAAAACAGGCAACTAGTTGAATTTGGCCCACAGGCCATAGTTTGCTGACCCCTGCCCTATTCTAATTCTTCAGATTGTTTTTTCTTGTCCTCAACTCCTTTCAAGCTAACTTCCAATGCAGGAAACAATTTAACTCAACCCTTTCTTCTCTGCACTAATCATCTGTCTGAGAGGTGAGACACCCACATGTCGTTGGAAAGCTATGCTTTCCATCTACTTGATCATTGACATGTATGTTCTTCAAGTAAAGATCTAATGTTGGTAGATTCTGTATAGTTAATTACTGAATTGGGAATTGGCTAAAACCCTAAAATTAAAGTTTCCTTGTTATCTTTATACTTCAAATGGTTTTAATTTGTTCTTGCTTAAATTATATTTACCTCTACATCTCTCGACTTCATTTTCTATGTATCACAGCCATAATCAGAAAATTATTCAGAATTTAGTCAGTCATGTCTTATATACTTAGATCAAACTGACATGTTTAATAATTTTAGATTCCAAATGATTGAGGTCATATACATAGGTCATAGTGAACCAAAGCAGTTTAGCTGCCAGTTACATCCAGTTCTGTTATTTGTCATGGTCTTAACCCCATTACATGATTTCATAAAGTATATCAAATTTTAGGTGTATCAGGCCAAGCAGAAAACTGAGACAAATAATGTTCAATAGGATGTTATCCCAGTATTTATTAGAAGTATCCTGGTGAAAAAAATTATGAACATAATTAAATACCTCAATTTATTCTATATGATCTATACATTATTTGAAATGAGGAATATCTTCTATCACAACAAAGACAACTTGTCAAATATTTTAATTGGAATACACCTGCTTACATGATTTAATTGTGTGTCTCATCTCCTTTATGCTATTATTTTTGCAAAGTATATATTGGTTCTGAATAGTACCCTTGTTTGTGGAAGCTATATGAATACATACATAAAAGGAGAGGTTATTTATTACTTTCAGTTCAAAGGATGTTTTTGTTGGGAAAAAAAGCTGCCTAATTTCTTATAGTTAATTACACAGAAAAACAGTAAATGTTAAGTTGCTATATCAACTTTTCAATATATATATCATAAATATAAAATATAACTGCTTAGATTAAGATGCTGTTCATGGCAGCAGTCAACAGGCACTCACTATTGTCCCATCCATTGTGCCCTTCACAATGTAACTTCCCTTTAATAAATCTACATTTCTCATTTCATAAAAAAGAATTGCTGTTCATAACTGTAATGATGACATTTATGTCAACATCTTAAGGAATCATGTATATTTTTAAATTTTTTTATTTTTATGTTTTTCTCTTTTAATTTTTATTTTGAAATTGTGGGGCACAATTCAGGGTTAAGTATACAAATGTTCATTGTGCAGGTACCCTTACTGATGAGGTGTGCCCCCCATTGCCCAGGGGGATATCGACTACTCTCAATCCCAGCTACCCAGCCCCCATCCCCTTCCCGCAGTTTCCCACTACTTTCAATCCCTTTCCTACAAGGCCCACTTATGAGTGGTTTTTCAAGGTCCACTTATGAGTGACATGTGATACTCAGCTCTTTGTTTCTGTGAGAGATCACTCAGTATTATAAATTCTAATTCCATCCATGTTGCTGCGAAGTTCATGATTTTGTTCTTCTTTATGGCTGCATAATGGAATCATATATTTTAAATTTGAAATATTACTATTTAGTTAGTGTAACAAAGCAAAGTTACCTTTTTAAAATATATTGTCAAGAAAATACTGATCCATTTATGCTCTTAATGACAATGAGCAATGGATTCTCTGTAGAGCTATCATTTTTAAACATTTCATTTTATACCTATTTATGCAATTGTAGTTATCATTTACAAGATATGAAAAACATTCCACCTTCCCACCCAGTAGCAAAAAAGCCTATGAGCATGGGCACTGGGGAACCAAGTTAGCAGTTAACAAACTCTTCAGATAGACTAACAACTAGGAATAAAAGATTCTCTCTCTTTCACCAGCAGGGTATATCGAAATCAGTGTTGTGTCTCTCACACAGGTACACAAACACACATTTTCCTCTCAGTCATAGATAGGCAAATGGGAATTCTAGTAATCAGTAGCAGAAGAGAATTCACATACCTAGAAATGGAAAAACCTGGAATAAACAGGATTTAACCACTATCACTGACTTTACCCTACTTTAATTCTGTCCCCTGCAGATTCAGTTTGAAGATTGCAAGTATAACATATTCAAGAACCAGAAAAATCTAGCCTATCATCATTATCAACATGTCATTAAAACAGTCCCCATTTATTGACTGCTTAGTATGTGACATGAACTAGGCTAAGCGCTCGACAGCCTCCACCACATTTGTAAACCTCTCTATTGTGACAGTGAAGTGAACTGTCTTAAGTTTACAAATGAGGAAACTCTGGTTAAAGAAAGTTACATAACTTACCCGGTATCATACATTATGAAGGACTGAAATTTGGACCCAGGCAGTTTGACTGCAGAACCCAGCCTCTAATCTTTTGCTCTAAATGCCTGCTATAAATTCAGCCTTTACAGCGTAATGGTCCTGACAAGCCTTGGAGACTCATCACTGGAAAAGAATGAGGGAGTCCTGAAGAACAATCTACTCCCTGGCTTCTCCCTAGTCCCATTTCACAACAAGGTGCACAGCAATGGAAGGTCATGCTGCACACCCAGCCTTATACTGCAGGCTGCAGACCCAAGCATTCTGAACTCCATTGCCCACTGCTTCAGAGTGGCGCTGACTGCACGGCCACCAGGAGCAAGACCTGAAAGAAGAGAAATCCTGATTGTGTGGACCTTAACATAGGAATATTGACACTCATTTGGAGCAGTAGAGGCTGC